GGACTGGGCGGACACCAGCAGCGACGCGGCCACAGCCCCCAGGCCCGCGCCGAGCCCGTCGCGGTGCGTCTTATACAGCACGGGGCGGAGCGACGGCCGGCTCGGCCAATCCGAGACTGGCGTGCCCTGAACCCGCCTTCCTTGCTTGCGAGCTCCGGACTTTCCCAAACCCTTTAGGTCCCTTGTCCTTCTCCTGACTCTGCACTGCCAAGGCATCTGGCCCCCATCCGCCTCCCCCCAGATTTTGAGTGGAAGCGGGGCCGCATCTTTCCTGGTCTGGCCCCCCACAGGCGCGAGCCCTGGCGGCTGGTGTTTAGAAACCGTGGAATCCGGTCTCCGCCTAGGGAAAGGTTTTGCCGGAGCCCTCCCCCTGGTGACAGTGAAAGCTCGCACTGGAGCTCAGGAAGCTCAACTCGTTGCACAGTGCTCCTTCCAAACCCCCACGCTGCTCCCAGTCCGTACTGCCTGGTTGGCTGGGCCGTACGGGCTCGCCGGGACCCTCATCTCCCGTCAAGCTGGGGCAACCGAGGGGATGAAGGTGGAGCGGGGCTGATGTCCTGATGGGATGGGAATCTGGCTGGACTGGTTCTACTAAAGAGTCCCTTCTTTGGCAAACACCACAATGCTGCCGCTGGGCCCACAAACCTTGGTGGCGCCCCAGAGGAGCCCAGACCCTAAGAGTATAAAGCTCCTTCTCTGCCCCTACTTCTGCGTGCTGCTCTCAGCGGGTCTGTGCACGTTTTGTTTTGTTGTCTTGTTGAAAATTTTGCCATAGGGCTCACGAGAGAGAGAGACAAACAGAGACGGAGAGAGGGAAAATGAGAAAGAAATCCTCTCCTTCTTGGGGCTGGGCAGGGAGAGGGGGAGGTGGCCTTACCGCAATCCTTTCTCTTCCTCCATTCTTCTCTTGGATTTTGGACACACACTCATACACACCTGGCGTGATTTTCAAGCTGCTGAGCCCAGGACCCCACCAGTGTAGTTGGCTACATGAGATCCAGCGCCTTAGCCCCCAAGCCCCAGCTGGCCCTTCCCTGCAACCTTTTACACAGAGAGGGAAGCTGAGTGCTGGAAGGTGCCATGATGCCCTGCCCAAGGTCACGTTGCCTGTTTGTGGCTGAATCAAGACAGAAATAAACCAGCTCAGCTATTCATGCCCTCCAGAGGCTTGTGCTCCTCCTCGGTCTCTTCCTCATCACTGAGGGACTCTTGTTGTCTGGGACTTCAGGCATCCTGGTAAAGTGATAGAACTGAGTCCTGCACACCTTCCCTGCAGCAGAACTGATCCTGCCATACCCTTTCCAAAAACTGCAACTCTGCCTCAGTTTCCACCTGCTTAAAGGTGCCACATCAGAGATGGGAGGTCTCTGTGGCGAGAAATCATCTCTGAAGCAACTGGGAAGGACTGAGGCACACGGCCTCTGGAGGACATAGGCCTGCTGGGGCCAGTGTGACACTGCCAGCCTGAAGAGGAGGCAGCCGGCAGCTGCGCTCGGCGGAGGAGGGGGGTAGAGCCAATCTCCGGCCCTCGTTCTCCAGTTGCTACCAGGTGCCCCAGACTGAGTGATGGGACTTGTAGATGGGCAGCTCGGCTCCAGAGAGGCAGTTCAGAAAGTCCTCAGAGGGAGGAGCCCAGGCTCAGCGAAGGACGAGTAAGTGGGGGGAGGGTGCTCAGTGACCAGAAGAAGTGGAGGCTCAGGAGGCAAAAGGCAGGGTCCAGGAGAGCGGCTCACTCAGTGGGATGGGATTCAGCAAGCTGGAGGGCTTCGTGGGCACAAAGACTCTGGAGGAGGCTCACGGTGGCGGGAGGGAGGTTCAGTGTGGGGCTCAGCGAGGACCAGGGAACCCCGGGAGTCACCAGGTGCCTGCCAGCAAGGAGGAATGGCAGCGGAATGGTGGCACCCTCCGAATGGCCTCTTCTGTGTCATCCAGCCTTGGGTCTCGCTCAGTGCACAAGCAACCCCCACCCCCTCATGGTGGCTAGATTAACAGTTCGCCTGCACAGGCAGGTCACCACCCACAGCTCCTGGGGGATGAATCAAGGGGAACAAAACCAAGACTTGCCCCCCCACGCCACCCCCTACCATCAGCCAGAAACAGAACAAGGCAGACCTAGGCTCGAAACCGAACGTCCACTGGATGACCTTGGGCAAGTCATTTCTCAGTGAGAGGAAACGTTTAACATACGTTTACTGAGTAAATGAAAGTTTTCTCTCTCCTCACAACATCCCTAAGAAAGGGAGATCTGCAGCTTTTCCTTCTTGATGAGAAGAAGCCCAGAGAAGTGAAGAGGCTTCCCCAAGGTCACACCATGGATACGAGGATTCAAACACGGGTCTGACCCACCCCAAAGTCACCCCCACCCCTCTCACTGTCTGACCATGTTCCACACAATTCCCTGTTGCAACCCTCTGAGGTATTCCTCACGAGTCCTAGATGTGTATTTGTTTAGGGTTCAGTTATGAAGTTTCTTCATCTAGACTGGTTTTGCTTATCACTAGAATCCCTGAAGTGAAGTGGAGTACCTGGCTGCACGAGACAGGCAAACATTTGTTTAAATGGAAAACACAAGAGTAGAGCTTGCAGAGGACGGTGAAGCTCCTCTTCCCCATCCATACATTTATTCTTCCATTCTTTATTTCACTCATTCAACAATTTGATCATTGCCTCCTCTGCTGGGCTGGCTGCTGGATTATAGCTGTGATTCCGTGGGCCCTGCCTTCAGGGAGACTGGGGGACACAGACAGGTGATGACTACAAGTGAAGCTTCTACTGGGTGGGGGAAGTGCAGAAGCTTTGGGAACACAGAGCAGCACTGAGCCCAGTGGCTGGGGAGGGGTTCAGGGAAGGCTTCCTGTAGGAGGTGGTATTTAAACTGAGACCTGAAGGGTGAATCAAAGTGAGTGTTGCAAAGATGATGCAAGGTGGGGGGGACAGAAGGACTCAGAATGAGAACAGCATGTGCAAAAGACAGAGGTGAGAGGGGTTTGGGCCTGCCCGCTGGCTGGCAGGCTTCCTTAAGCAGCCTGAGCTCCATCCTGCACAGCCAGCCCGTGACACACACTTGGAAGGGGAAAATGTATTTCACGCTCTAAGGATGATCATGTTTTTCTCATCTTTATAAAATTTACACATTCATCTTGTTAAAAAGCTGAAAAATAGAGAAAACATTAAAATAATTAGAACATTAAAATTAAAAAAGAGGCCTGCAATCAGAATCAAAATCTGCATTTGAATCAAAGTTCACACCTAGCTGTGTGACCCTAGGAAGGGATTCTTCCTCTCTGAACTTCAGGATCTTGACCTGAGATATGGAACTTGTAATGTGTATGGCGGAGTCAGGGTCACTGACGGATGCGAGGATGTTCCCAAGATCTGCTTATATCTATTTGACTCAACACTTGTGATTTGAGTCTGAGACCCTGAAAAAGAGGAAGTTCAGGGACTAGCAGATGGCATAATGGGTACATTGCTGGACTCCCACATAGTCAACCGCGGTTCAAGTCCCAGACCTGGTGACTTAAAGCATGCTGGGAATGTATGCATGCGTGCCTAAAATCTCTAGAGGAGAACAGAGGAGAAGAGATTGCAGCATGACCATCTCCCACCGAGAGGTGATTTCTCACTTTCTGTCTCTCTGTCTCTCTGGGGACCGCTCACACCCTATAGCAAAAAAACCTCTGAAAAAAAAAAAAAAAAAGGCAGTGAAGCTAGGAGCAGGTTCAAGTCCTGCCCAGTGTGTATCTACCCCTTCCTGGGACAGCAACCAGCAGAGGCAGAACGTTTTGCAGAGCATGGCCCCAAGGGAGACTCCCTCCATCAACTGAGAGTCAATGCCAGCCTGGAAGATCTGAAGCCTCTGCTAAGAGAGCCTACCCCTCCTCTTCAGTCTTTTCCTGGCAACCTGGCCTGGTACTCTCCAGGATGTGATCTCAGTTTAATAATTTAGCAGATGCAGACAAAGATAGCAGCTCTGAAAATAACCCGGCCGGGCCCCAGCTTCCATCTCCCCTTTCCCCAACAGACTCCCCTGCCCTTCCCCCAAGGTCTCTGGTTGCCCTACACACCTGGCAGGGCCCCCTTCCTGCCAGTGGACACCTGATTCCACATCTCCTCATCCTCATTCTTCTAGCCCTTCTCCTCCCTTTCTTTTCATTCTCATTTTACATCAAGTAGGACTTTCATTGTCCTAGAAGCCA